TCTTAGTGGATTCAAACTCCTCACCTTTGGGTTAGCAGGAGAATGTTTTTAACCATTGCACCACCAGGGATTCATCTCTTTCCTGATCAGCAAAGCTGATATAAACACTGTGCTTGCTAATACTCACACAAGAGTTTCTCAACATGTTCTTATTTCTTTTTCCATAATGGGAGAGAAGCGTTTTGGTAAGGCGATGGATATGGGTCTCTGACAGAGACACCCAGTATCCGGCACATTAAACAACTCACTACCTTCGATTTTATGCCAATTCATAGTGATTTCACACTCACTGCCATCTCATGGAGTCTGTACTACCGCACCTCAGCCATCAGGTTTCTTTACGGGAAAAGAATGTCCAACTTTCTTCCAAGAAAGGACTGGTGGATTTGAACCGCCCAGCTTTTAGTTAACAGCCTTATGCACTATATCACCAGAGCTCCTATCTGGCAGAGTAAAAGAGCTCCACAATGTTTCATAAGCTGTAAATCTTTATGTAAGCAAATTGTTTCATCTTTCTCCTGCAGAGTGGGTAGAAGGTTCGAAGTACTCATCCTTCCTGGCAAAAAGCAGTGCACAGTGACACTAATAGATGAATCACCTCTGCTGATAAGTTCTACAGCATCCTTCAAGCAGCTAAGAGACACTGAGCAAGCTGACTTGATACTGGTTGTACAGACACACTCCCAAAGCTCTGGCCCTAAAGTCCAGAGGTTCCCAGCCTCCTTACCCGGTAACCAAGGTCCCATCGCGGCGGATCCCGAACTGCGCGTTCTGCAGCCCCTGGGAGCTGCTCACCAGACGCCCATCGCTCACCACGCTCCCCAGGCACTCTCCAGTCTCCATGCGGAAGAAACCACCGTTCTGAGCAACCTGGCAGGCCGCCGTCCTCGCAGTCTCCTCCACGGTAGCCCGCTGTCTCGCCTTGCAGCCACCGGGCCCGCCGGGCTCCAGCACGGAGAAGGTGCGCAGGGGTGCGGTGGCCCGGGTCAAGTGGCCAGCCACCGCGCGGCCTGCGAAGTACGACACGAAGGTGCGCACGGACACGGTGCCAGCGTTTGGGGTCGCGCGGGCAGGCGGCCAGGTCTCGTGCTCGCGGATGCCCGTGCGCACGGGCGCGCAGTCCCGGGGCGAGCGCACGCGCGCGCGGGAGTAGGGCAGCAGCAGGTCGTCATCGCGGGAGACCCTGCGGGGACCGGGCGGCGGGGTGAGCTCGGAGGGGCGCCCACCAGCCAGGACGTGGCCCCCGACCGGGCTCGCCCCCCGGGATCTGCACTCACCCCGAGCCGAGGTCAGCGTGTGTGTTCCCGTGGGCGCCGAGCAGCACGAGGAAGAGGAGAGGCCAGCGACCCGTGGAGGCCGCCATGCTGGGGCCGGGCCTCGGGTCACGTGGGCTCTCCCACGTGACAGCAGACCTGGCGGCAGTTTTCTAAACCGCGCTGGATTCACTGCGTTCCTTCTGGGTTTTCTAAATTGCTCATATAGGTTCTGGAGCTTTTTGGGAAGGTCGAGGAAAGACCTTTATCGTGTTTATCTTGAGGAGCTTTTAACCTTTCCTGTGAGTAGTCCTGACTTCATAACACCACCAGTAGTTAAAAACGTAGAAACTTGTGAGACATAATTCCGAATGTTGTTGATTAATGTCGTGCACAACTCATAGCGACCCTATGAACCAAAGGCCTGAAGCCTTTCTATAACCATCGTCATTTTTCCAGGTTCATAGAGTTTCCAGTGCATGTGGTTTAGGAAGTGGATGCCACTCCTGCTTCTAAACCTGAATCAATCTGGGAGCTCCACCAAACACTGCCCATGATGGGTAGCCAATTATGGTGTTTGACACACCTATGACACAGTTGTCTATCATTACAGCAACTCTAAGTTACTTCAGTAGAACAAATAGATTACTTTAAAATTTAGATTGATTGTTGTTGTTAAGTGCCCTCTGGTCGAAGGTGACTCATAGCGACCCCATGAACCAAAGTCCTCGACCCTTGCGTGATTTCCATCCTCTCTCCAGGTTAATAGGTTTCCAGAGGCAAGCTATTTACGGAAGTGGATGCCACTCGTGCTTCCAAGCTTGTTTTAATTGGGGAGCTCCACCAAACACTGTCTACCATGGGTAACCATTGTCACATTTGATAAATCAGTGTCACAGTGTTCAGCTTCACAGCAACCACGAGTTACCTCTGTACAGCAAGTGGACATACCAGGGTTACACGGCCTAGAAGAATGTTTCACCAAAAACAATTAAAGGCAGGCCTGAGGGCAGCAGAGTAGAGTCACCCACCTTTGGCTCCGGAGCAAGACTTTCTGTCCGCCAGGCCAACTGCTCGCTCTCTCTATGCTGTTGTTGTTGTTGTTAAGTGTCACCAGAGAGAACACACATTTTGTCCAGAATGATCACACACACACACACACACACACACACACACACACACACTGCCCTTTCTTCTTCTCTCCTACCTTTAGTAATAATGATTAAATTCTTTGGTTAGTTCAAAAAGGACCAAGTGTGGAAATCCAAATTCTCTGTAAATGTTCATTAAAATTATTTTAAAAAAATGAAT